GTCTCCGCGTCTCGCGCTCGCGACGAATCCGTCGTCAAGTATGTTTAACACTTTGCCGTGTAGGAGCGAGACATGTGGTAAAGATCTTTAACCCAATTAAGTAAAAATCAATGTTATTAGGTCGTCCCATACGTTTCACGGTCAGCCCGGAATATTTTGCCCGTCAGAAATTTTGGAGAGAAAGGATTCCAATCCTTCGGAAAAATGAAGGAAGGTAACAGATAGAGATATTAAATATTAATGGAATATTAATAGAAAATGGAAGTTATTGTACATCATTTAGTAACGTGACATGAAACATAAAATATCCATTTGGTATTAATAAAACGAAAAGATATGTACAATTGTAATTAACAAAAAATTGTTTTGTATTATTACAAATTATTAACAATGAAATTAATCAGACGAGTATGGATAAGAAGATAGCCATACTTCTCTTTCGATTCACTCAGGTTTTCATTTTTTTCCTCTTTTTATAGCGCTGTCACGTTTGTTCAGCATATTCGATTCGATCGCATCCTTTTCCCTTCTGCATTAGAAACGGTAATCAAAGTATTGCTTGAAAGTGTAATATAAATTACACCGCCTTTATGTCGTGGAAAAATATAAACGTACAGCGATTTGCAAACCCCGAAAAACCAAAAAACACGAGGTGAAAGCAAGCAAAAATTAGTTTGCCAGAATATTTTCTTCACCACTGCTTTTTCAAACAAACGCACAAAACAAATATTTCTTTAACATACGCATTACGTATAAAAAAAGAATATGTAATATACCGTATAAATCAAGGAAAAATAGTGCGAAGCATTATATGGACGCTCCGTATCCACGCATTCTTTATTTACCGTCGCTTACATTAACAAGTCCATTATTCATTATAATTCCGCTCAGAAGCGCGGAGGGTGAAAACCTGCCGGGTCCAAAGAGTCGAGGGTTAAACGTCCATTTCCGCACGCTTCTTTCTTGTCTGAAACACGTTGAACGAACGGCAGCCCCTCGCGACGGCATACAATTAAAAGAAGCTATTCCGGCGAGTCCTTTGTCAGAATTAAGCCGACTCGATTCCCCGCCGTTCCGTTCCACACGATAATAGAAACATGTATATCTCATCGCGGCCGTCGAACGGACGAAGAGGAAGAACCCTTTCCGGAGAATCCATTATTACAAAAATAACCTTTATCTGTTCCGCGCTCCGACAATGGGAGGACAATGATGGCTATACTTCCGGCGGTGGCTTCAAGGAAGCGAGAGAAAGAGAGAGAGAGAGAGGGGGGGAGGACTCTTCGCGTAATCCTCTTTGTCACGGAAGACGTCGTCGTTCGCAAATTGCTTGGCTCCCGGAGTCGGTGCACGCGGCCGATACGATATCATTCCCGTTTGGAAGATTGTTTTAATGGAACACAAGGCTCCATAAAAATATCCAACGACAGGGAGGACACAAAAGAAGCGGGACGCACAACCGTTCGCGACCGTGGCCACGGTAACAACTCCCTAATTTTCCGCCGGTCTGCAATATTTAATGCGTTCCCTCGGTGATCCCTGGCAAGCGACGGCTCGCTGGCTCCATTTTCGGCAGGGAAAGCGGCGCCGAGAGGGGGTGGCAGTGGAAAATTATTGTGGCGCCGTTCCCGGCATCGAAGCGAGACGCGGAGACCCGAAACACCGCGGCCGGGCCGGGCCAAGCCGGCGCCCGCGGCCCCCATCCTCTTCTTCCCGCGAAACTTGCCGGGCGACGGAGGGCAGGACTAATCGCGCGCGTCCGCCACGGTGACGGCTAATTAGCGCCACCGGAAATGAACCGTGGCTCGGCCAGGAATTAATATATCTTCGCCAACCTCCTCTACGCTGGCTTCACCTCTACGCTGGCTTCGCCTCTACGCTGGCTTCGCCTCTAACGTGACCAGAGAAGAGACTCGAGCGAGGACGATACGGAAATACGGTACACCCGCCGTGGACGGAGTAAATCGTGTCGGTGATTAGGGAAACGAACGACGACGGCAATTAGAGGAAGAACCCGGGACGGAACGGGAACGATAGTGGCGGCTCTTACCCTCGCGTTGACGCGCGACCCTGTCTTTGGGGCTCCTGAGTTACGTTTACGAGCGCCGCAAAATCGTGGGTCAGATTACGGCCTGGTAATAATGATCCGGAATATCAAGTTGTGGGATGGCCAATCGCGGGACGTTCTGACGACGGAGGGTGATCGGATGCGGTTGTAGCGATGTGTTTGGCTGTCGCAAGAAAAGTGAGTTTGGGTTCTGTATTCTTAATCCTCGTGATATATGATTGGAACGTAAATAAATTAGGTTATGTTGAACCTTTCGTTCATTTCCTTTTTTTGATTTTGGTGTCAGGTTTACAAAGCGAAGAAGTTATAGGGCAGACGGGGCAGACTGATTACACGACGATTCTTGTTAGTCGTTGGTACGTTATAAACCTAACTAAATTTTTTAATTATTTTCAGAATCATACTTTGAACTTTCTGAGCACCAGTCCAAACGTTCGTAGATATTAAGCCGAGCACCGAGAAACTTTTCCCCGAACACCCAGAAGTTACACCGCAATTTATTCCGGCCTGAATGACTCATCTCAATAGCTTTCGCTGAAACCGGGCCGTTCCTTTTTACTAAACTGAGGCTGTCCAACAAACTCGCGGCCCCACAGCATCAATTTTCACTTTTCGACAATGGCTACACTCGACGTTTACCATATCCGCGGTAACGTCGCTTCAGATAGAGCGCGATTTACGAGCGCGGCAACCCCTTCGCTGGAAGTCGCCAGCCCTCGCTGAGTTTCACGGCGCGCTGTTATTATAGGGACGTTAAACTGGCCAGACAATGACGCCGGGTTTACGGTTACTCTGGCAGTCATTGGTCGGCTGATCAGGGTCGTAATATAATGAATCCGAAGTCTCGCTGATAATCCTCGCCGATAAATCCGCGTCGCGACGGGCCCTTATTATCCGCGGGCTCGGTCGCGCCCCTTGACAATCGTGTTCCCCTATCCGCATGTCTATGCAATTTGTACCCTGATGCAACATTCTCTTCCAGAATAATTAATTCTCGTGGTAACAACCAAAATATTCGGACTCTAGTATTAGGTTGTTCATTTGCATACATTTTTTTATTAACCCTTACATTAGCAATAAAAATTATATTCGCAACCAAAATGTTCAGACTTTGATATTAGAATATTTATCGCATAAATTTTTTTAATTCCAAAGTACGACTCGATGTAAAAGGAGCAACCGAGATCCGAAACAATTTTGTGAAACTTTCGCAAGCACATTGCAAATTGCATAGAACGTACAATAGGCTCTTGAGTATTCGATTTAATTGAGCGGTAATTCAGATAATTGGAAATTCGAGAAGAATTCACTTTACAGCATGCTTGTAAAATCCGATTCTACATATTTCGAAGTACAATCTAAATTACAAATACGAACCAAGACTCTGAGCAGTTGAGACTAAACAATAGAGACAGTTAACGTTGGTCTCATTTATAAAAATCGTTTACTGAAATACTCGGTTGCTAACATCAGAGTTAAACGCAAAATAAGACCTCCCGTTCGTCTTTTCAAGGCCAAAAAACGATTTCCCGCAACACTTCGAAAAAGACAAAAGGGGTGAGCGCGGACGATTCACAAGCTGGCGGTGTCCATTACCCCGGTAACGGTGCAAGAGCATGCAATCCTTGTGTCGAGAGAGTTTCATACGTTAACGTCCCCGTGGATGGTTCCGCGGCAATTAACCGTTCGCTCGCGGGTTTTTCTCGCGTTATTGCTCGTCACGGTTAATTAGATCGTTACTCCTTGCGAGCTCACGGGAGGAACGGCCGCTGCAGACACGCAAATGACCGCTATATTCCGCTCCGGCCGGACGACGTGTCCGCCGTCTACCGTGTCGCGTCGCTCAACATCTTTTTTTATTGCGCCCAGTCATCCGGAGTTTCATTTTTCGGCTGGAACACCGCCAGCGCTCGCCCTTCTTGTTCGATTCGGCTCGGCTCGGCTCAGATCGGAGCACGGGGGTTGCGTCTCCGCAATTTGCATCGGTGAGGACCGGCGTGTAACTTCCTCTGCGAGTTTATTGTACGCCCGATCGCTAGTCGCTCGCGAGAGTCGCGCAACAAAAATAGAGCAGCCGGTTCCGAGCGTGTCGCACCCTGATGCATCCAGAAGTTGAGACACCGCCCCGTGAATTGCATAATAACGCTTTCGGTAACCCGTTCTGTCGACCTACGCTAATAGCTGGAACTTCCGATGACGAAACTTTCCAAAAAACCCTTTAAAAAAGTGTTCCGGCGCTCGAGGAATGTTAAGCACGGGTTAATTGCACCCGAGGTAATCGTTTCTCTCGTTACACAGTCGCCTAGTCGATAGTTCCTTTTCGTTCCTTTTTTCACCTTTTTCAACCTCCATCAAAGGAGGCAGTAATGCTTGTCTAGAGTTTAGAGACTCTCGTGGAGTAATTGTCCGAACAAATCCCTATAAAAAGATCATTATCAACGCCTTTAATAATATTAAAACAAAGAACTAAGGGCTAACATCGATCAGTCTACTCTTTCATTCCTCTGTTCCAAAACCAGCGTTAATTACCGTCCAACGTAATCTGCGTCCCTTAGAAATACGATTCATGAAATCAGTCAGGAGTCGCTAATTGCGTTCGCTGGATAATTGAAACGAAAAGCATCGAGCTGATGGTGGTTGGTGTCGTTCGGCGCTGATTACGCAAAACGCCTGTGCCATCAATCTCCAGAAAACGCCGCCTGGAACTTTTATTCCCGTCCCCGGTTCTAATGGAACCCGCTTCGTATACATGGAAGTAGAAACCCTAGCACAGGATCCGCGACCGAGTGTTTTATTGTTCGTGTTCCGGGGGCAGCGTTTAAGTGCACAGAACGATCTCGTGTTTCGTGGCTTCCGCGCGTGGTTGTTCCTCTACCCCGTTTCTCGTGCCGTTTCTCTTTCTGACCGACCGCGTTCTCCTTTTTCTTTCTAGGGACCTGAGACCAGCCAGCTTGGAGAAAGGCCAAGAGACCCTTAGACTGCGAGTGTACGCCAGCTACGCTTGGGGTGGGCCGCTCCTGGTCGCCGGCGTGGCTGCCCTGCTGGATCATCTTCCGCCCCAGCCACAGTACACGTTCCTACGGCCGCGATTCGGCGAGAAACACTGTTGGTTCTACGGTAAGGCCGTTTTCACACTACGATGCACATACCATGTTCGTCAAAAGTTTGGGACCACTTGCATGTTCCATGACACGTGTTAGCAATTATTTATATACACCACGGTTTTCAGATTTTATAAAATTTTTGAAGATTATGTACTATTAATACAAACATTTTCGAGTAATAGTTCTTTTTGAGAAATGTTTTTTTCCTGAACCGAGAGAGTGGTTTCATACTTTTAACTGTTCTTCTGTTTTACAGTAAGAAGGATACGGGAATTTTGTGCATTAATTCTTCGAAAATAGTTTTATAACGGAACTACGATAAAGGCTAAAAGTACGTCGATTCACTGAGAGGCTACCTTTAGTTCAATGCTAAAAATATTTCAAATAATCAACATTAAAATAATTTACAACAGTCTACACGCCTCGAAAAGCGTTTGTGCTACATACATCCACAGGTTTCAGATTCCGTGAAACATGCAGCCTTTCAGCTTGCCTCCACACTTTCAATCCTTTTCAATTTATTGCGTAATACCAAGGCATTTTGAAACGTCTTCTTTTGTAGTTTCAGTATCCGTATTAATTATAGTATTTATTATCATTGCAAAAGATCAAAAATAAAAAACTAAAAGGAAACAGCCTAGGTTCCTGAATCTGATCAGAAGTTGCATTGATGTCAATTCATACACATTGAAACATATAACGTGAAACCTAGATATCAATGCTTGTATTAGCCTCGTGTAGCATAATGTATAGAGGCATTAAGGCTTCTTTCCTTGCCACGACGATACCCGCTCGCATGAAGTCCCTGGCGGTCGCGCGCGCCAAAGCCACCCCCCGGGAACCTTTGAACTCATCGCGGGAAAAGTTTCCTCGTCAAAAGAGTCGTGGTGGCGGTCCGGAGAAGGTTGACTTTAATCAGACCTCGAGCGGAAATTTGTACGCTCGCAGAGACGTTCGGCGGATACTGGGACCGTTAAACGCTATTAACGTTAAATATTAACTCTGAACTCGTGGGCGCAGTCCAAGGGACCACGCGAAACTTGTCGAACCGATGGTGATATCTTGTGTTTATTGTAAATAGCTTTGAGGCACTGATAACTTTGATTTAAATGCTTATTATCTTTTTTATCGAATTTAAGAAATTTGAATTATTTTAACTTTTTAAATCAGGGTATATAATTTTAATTTACGCGATTTTATTTTAAAATTTTGCTGTCTAAAGAGAGAATGTGAGGTAGTTTGGGGAAATTTTATTTCTATTGTAACTGCAGCTGTAATCCTATTAATTTATTTACTCGTTTATTTATGTGATTACCAGGTTGGGATATTTATGCATTTGAATGAAATACGAATGCGAGAACGGCTATAAAATATATAAATTACAATTAAATTCAATGTTGTTTGCGCTGCGACGAAAGCGTATTAAAATTATTCACGAAGGAAATTAACTGTTGTTCAATTCCAGTTCTTGTAAATTGCACATTGAGAATTTTATTTCGCGTAAAAATATGTAGACCGGTGATTACGTTAATATTCAATTGTAATTAAATGGAACGTCTGTGGTTGAAAGTTTACAGGAAACTCAATCAACCGGAATTATTTTTGTTGCACAGATTTTATGCACCTGAAAGATTAATTCTGTTATTTTTAATAAAAAAAATGCTCGACGAGAACCTCAAGTTACCAATTAATTCCAGTTATTAACAGAAACCCCAAAAACGTTTGGTCGTATTAACATCCGCAGTCTAATCGTTATAATTTCTACTGTCGATGAATATATCAAAAAATACTCTGATGCAGACTAGAATTTTCAATCTTAAAACGAACAATTTGAAAATATTTCGAATTCAACTTAATGTATAAGATTTCCTCAAAATAATAATTAAGAAACTCTATTGAAGCATACCAAAAAAATATTAAATCACATAAAGATCCACAATTTAACCATTACAATCTTAAACAAATTTCAAAATATTTCAAATTCAAATCAACGTATAAGATTTTTTTGAAATTAGAAATTAAGGAACTGGTTCGAAGAACACTATCAACAGCCAACGGAACGAGACGGAACGGAAAAGAGGTCGCGCGCGGTAATTAATTCTCGACGGTTCGGTACGAGGCCCCGCGAATTAATTCGATCGCGTCACACGCGACTTATCAGTGAATTAATTTCCCCCTTCCCGGCGTTCCGTTTGTCGGGTGGCGCGCGGATCTCTCTCCGATGCGTTCCGTTGTCGGGGCGACATTCGGCCCCGGACTTGCTGACATTAGTAACGGATCAGTTCCACAGACGGTAATGGAGCCTATTACCAAAAGTAATACAGGCCGGCGGGGAGGGCAGTTAACACGTAATTCCCCGTGATCCGATTATTCCGCTAATTAATAGGACTGGTCAGTCGTGTCCGTCGCGCTGATTAAATCGGTTTCGTTAACCGATCGATCTCCATGCTAAAGGGAGAGAAAGAAGGGGAGACATGGAAAGAGAGAGCCGTGCGGATTAATTAATAATCGAGGCCTTTCCGCGTTCAGTCGGCAATGGGAATCGTATTCGAAAAAGGCATCCCGAATTTCATCGACCGAAAAAAGGACAACGTAATTTGCCAAACACGTGTGTTCTCCAAATAATCACGTCAGCGCGGTGACCATAGAATGAACGCTTATTAAAACGCCAAACAGTTGAAACAATTTTCGTAACACTAACCGTTCCAGCACTTTTCCTAAACCAGTCAAATAACTGGCTATGAAATCAAAGTAAACAAGTCAAGTGATATATTCTTTATAGTGGAAACAGAAACAAAAGGAAAGACAAAAATGGAAAACTGATTAATCAGACAATATAGGGATTAATATAAAGCTAAATGAACGAAAACGCAGAGTTTTAAATCCGATCATTTGACCAGTTCTCGGTACGGTTAGGGTTAAAGAAACAGACACTGAAAAGTCAAAGTTCATCTTCTTAAATGCTCCTTTCGTTTGATGGAATTCTGAAAAAATTAATTTTTAAGTACGCAGAAAAAATTGTTGGTAGGGGAGGAATTAAATTCACCGGGTGAACGAAAGGAAAACGTACTCCCGCCCCGCGGGCAACAGGCCGCGAGCTAATGGCGAATATTTCGGTAAGAGGATTAGTCGGCTCCCGAAATATCTCGTTACGTGGCGGCGTACCCGCACCTCCGCCTGGCTCCTCTGGTCTGCGTCTTGCCGCGTTGCTCCCTTGATTTTTGGTTATGTATACACAGCCGTAATCGGCCCCAGATAAGAAACAATGGCACACGCTATCAGCGTGCACATAGTGCCGGAGCCTGCAGCGGCGAATACTTCGCTAAGAGGATTACACCGTTACCGAAAGATTGTATTTAAGTATGACGCAGGGTGGCCGAATAAGAAGATCGATACCCTGGGGGTGTACACTTAATACCTAGAATCCCCAATAATAACCCGTGCGAGCCCTAGCTACCCCCAAGCCCACTCCGTCTATAGTGTGTCTTAGCTCGAAGCCACCAAACGAATATTTCAAGATATTGAAAACGTAACAGGAGAATTTTTAATGAAATATATACGTGTCGCGACCAATGATGTTTTTGTAATGCGTTAATCCTTTCGTAGATTATTCCTTTAACGAATAAATCGGTTAAATCTGGACAGATTTTGTTTGGCTGAATTCATAAATTTGTAACTGCGATGTCTACACAACCACACGAAATCAAACATATATTTCAGGTCGTCGAATTCGGTCTGGAACGCACTGATAAACGATCTAACGAAAACCTATGGAGTTCTACAAATAAATATAGCTTGCCCACGATATATCCTTCATAAACAATATAATAAACATCTACGTTCCAAGCAATGCGTTTATTCCAATAACTTTGGTTCATCAGCCCATAAACAATACGGTTTTGTATACTTCTGTTATTTCTAAAAATGAATAGAAACACATTTTCTTCATCATTATTAAAAATTATTAGTACTTTCAATGATCAGTCATTAGTATCAATTCTTGTGAAAAAAATAAATTGATAAAAATAAGTAGTAACTTTTAAAAATAAAAGAACTATACAAAAACCGCATTATTTATGACACGCCACAATACTTTTAAGGACACTCGTTCATCGCTTCCAAGCAGGAACACTCTATATACTCGTGTGCACAGGGAATCGAGATAATAAGGAGCCGAACGACAATGTCGCGTCTTTATTCGTGGCCAAGGTTCCAGCTACGGTCGGAGGCTATTTAACGAGCAACCTCCGTAATCCACATCCAGTGCACTCCGTAATCCGGCGAGCATACTCTTCCCACCCCTATCGTCCCGCCTCTACCTATTCGCCGCCTCTGGCCCACCAGCGCGCGAGCGTGTCCATACATCCAGCGCGTACATATTCGTTTCAAACAGTAGCAACTACCGGCGTCGCGTATTAATCTGCCGCGGTCGCGATATTTATCGACGCCGAGGAACGGCCGCCGCCCCCGCATCGCGAATTAATGTTTAGCTTTTATATCGTTTGACAAATATAAACGTCTGCCGCGCAGGACTCGCTCGCCTGTGTATTTTCGTTTCGGTTTCCGGACGACCGGCGCTGGTTTGGTTTTCGGCCCGGTCCCGACTCGCCACGCGGAACCCCCAACTCGCGTTTTATTGATCGTCCACTGCGATTTTATTGGCTCGGCCCTGTGACGTGCTCGCGACCGAAATCCTTCTATCGCGGGATAGCCTCCCGCGTGAGGCCGCGACGGTGTTTCGGAAGCGGCTGGAATTCCAGCGAGTTTGCAAATGTGCGCCGTGTTTATGGGGGGAGGGGGGCGATCTGGAACGCGAACTCTTGCGAAACGGTTGAGTCACGAAGTTGCGATTCGGATAACGGTGATTTACTTCCGCGCGGGAATATACGATTTCTGAGCAATTTATGGAACGGCGGATATCTGTAAAGAGAATTACTTATTGTTCGAGTGAGAGTGTATTTGATATGCTGAGATTGGTTTTAGCAAGGAAATTAGAATTATTTTGTTCGGAAA